CCCCAAAACCCCAAAACCCCAAAACCCCTTATTAGTCATAGTAAATTGAAAATTCCGGAAAAAGTGGCTGGAGAAAACATGGTCTGGTCCTTGTTATAAATTACTCAGTTGTGTTACTATGATTGCGAGATAGAGTGGTATCTGATAGATTATCCTCCATTTTACTAATGAAGCTTCCTTCAGCATAAAATGAGAAATCCCGTACATATGCTTCCCTTTTCTCATCAATGGTAAAGACTGAGTTATCTTCGTAATGATCATCCAAGGGTTCCTCTAGCCATGTGCCTGCAATGTATTTGGTGCAGTCTTCACTCTTAACTTTTGGGATGTAGGGAGATTTCACGTTTTTGATAGCTAAATCCTTCCATTTTATAGTCTCCAAAAATGGATGGTTGAGGATCTCCTCGATCCCATTAGCCCCGAGACGCTCCGAAGGATCCTTATTCAGTATTTTGGTCAGGAAATCTTGTGCAAATGGTGATAGCGATTTGGACATCTTCAAATTGTTCTGAAGGATCTGTTTAAAGATTTCATCACTGTAATAGAAAAGATTAGATTCATGGATTATTTGTGGAGATTTAGGAAGAGCACTTACTTTGTCTTGACTGACCCTTTTAGGAAGGGATATTTACCATGGAGCATCTCGAATAGCATCACGCCTAAGCTCCAGAAATCCATGGTCTTTTTGTGCTCTTTCCCCTGAATTATTTCTGGAGCGCAATAGGCTGGAGTTCCTCAAGTCTCGTTTATCCCATTGTCTTTTTCAATATTTTTAGATAGCCCAAAGTCTATTATTTTTATGTGCCCTTTGTTATCGATCAAGATGTTTCGAGGATTCAAATCTCTGTGCAGATAGTTGTTCTCGTGCATAATCTTAAGAGAAAGGAGGATCTCAGCTGCATAAAATTTAGTAAGATCTTCTTTCAGCTTCCCTGCCTTTATTAATTTAGTATTAAGCTCTCCTCCGTTTACATACTCCTGGATGAAGAACAATTTGTCATGGGTTTGGAAAGTTCAATAGAGCTTGACTAGGAAAGGACTTGAGCATTTTGTCATAATTTCCTTCTCGACATGAATTCTTCCTTTTTCAATTTGATTTATAGACTTCTTAATAACCTTCATCGCATAAGGTCTTCCTGTATCCTTCTTATACACCAGGTATACACTGGAGTAAGCGCCTTTGCCAATGCAGTGAGCTTTGTGGAAGTCACACTCATTAATTCCTACAGAAATATTAAAACAGCTAGGATGGTAAAAATTGTACCTTTTGTGAAGAACTCTTGGTCTCCTTCATGCTTTCATTGCTCACTTATCCATGCAGTACGATCAATATTCTCAAAATCTTTGGCTGATTTCTTTTTAGACTTCGACTTGTGTTCCTTTGACTTTGAGTCAGAGCCTGGCTTAGGAGGCACTTGGCCTTCAAGTCTTTGAGCTTTGCATCAGGCTGCACCCATCTTGGCTTATTTAGTAGAAAGAAAAAATTGATTAACCCAATTATATTTAACCAACTGGGGTTTTGGGGTTTTGGGGTTTTGGGGTTTTGGGG